TTCTTTAGCACCGTTGTGATTTTAAACTCGAAACGAAAAAGCGACAGTATTTGTCACAAGGTATCCGTAATTTTGTAACTCTGCAAGAAACAGATGTGGATCGATCCCGAGCTCGGGTAGTTTTTTAATTGTTTTTTTTTCTTTAATTAAGCTATGATTTATTTTACTGTTGTTTTTTATTTTCATTAAGCTTTTATTTATTTTTCGAAACAATTTAATTGTACATTATTTAATTTTCCTTTTACGGACTTACTTATTTCCCTTTAAGGAATTTGCTTGTTCACATTTTTGTAGGTTTCACTTCTATCGCATGTGAACAGCACATGTCTGTTTTTTTTTAATTTTCTTGCTGCATGATCAGCAGGTCTGAGAAGCAAAACAGCCGAAACATCTAATGAGCAGTTTGCCTATAATTAGCAAAATGTCCATGCCTAAACGTCCAACTCTCAAATATTCAGTAAAGCAGAAAGTCTATTTATTTTTTAAACGTGTACGCTCATGTGTCAGAAAGAAAAGAACTAGTTGTTTATATATTTGTTAGGATTGTAGTGTGTGCGTCACATCCACCCATATATAATGCATTTATTTGTAATAAAGGTCAGTCAGAACGCATAGCTTGTTTTAATTCAGACGTCTCCCAGGGCCACACATTGCATGGTGACCCTGCCACACATTGCAGGATATTAGGTGCACAAATTCCCCTGAATTTACAAATATTTATCAAAAATTAAGAGGGATACATTTTCGAACCTCAAGCTCTTGTATTTGGTATTCTACCTTACTTTGTATGTTTCTTTGCTTATTTCCTTCAAATGACAAGTTTTGTATTTATGATCTTGCCTAAGAGTTCCTCTTCTAAAAGCTTTGAGGAATAGTTAAGGCAATATTTATCAAAATAAATATTGCTAAGAAGCCTATAATATTCCTGTCCAAAAGTCAATTTGAATAAAGTATAATTTAATTTTACTTGTGTGCCTGAGTATCCAGATGTCTTGAGACTGCTTTTCTGCTCATTAGACGTTTTGCTGCTTAGACCTTCTGATCGTGAATAGTTTTTTTCACTTATATAATGGTTTCATAAATTTTACTTACGTAATTACCTGCATGGAGTATCTTAGTCTCCAATCGTTTGGATTTCAACTATCCAATCTTTTCGTATTTACACCTAGTGAATCAAAATTTTACTGGGAGAAAAAATGACTCGGACTTGGCATCAGGCTAGATACAAACCAGCGTCCCTCACTGTCCGGCTGAATTAACTATTATAACCGACTTAACCTTCAAGGTGTATGGCTTAATAAAGAATAAAAATAACTATTATTCTTTCGGCAATTGGTATAACCGCTCCAAAAGGCCGACTCTCGGCCGTTTGCTCAAGCGGCACGCGACCGACATTCGGCTTTTCATCGTTTTTCTATCCTGCCTTCATTCATATATCAATTTTTAGAGGAAAAAACGGGCTAGCTATTTAGCCATTGATTAAAACAACTGCCATATGAAATATTTATACTGTTATCTGTCAAAGTTCGTCGTTCGCCGTTTTTTGTATGAAAAAAAATATGCCGTGTATTCAGACTATTTTAAGTGCTTTTGAGTGGTTTTAAAGAAAAAAACATCATGCCTGGTTAAGTTAAAAACATTTAGTTACTCTATTTTGATGTTTTGTTTGCGGGTCTCCGTGATTTTTTTTTTTAGATTTTTTTTGCAGACGCGGTCGGAAAAAAAATCAGCGAAAACTTAGGGGTACTTACCTTATGTTTTCATTTGATAATTTCGATAATAATTGTAATGTTTTAATTTTTAATTATTGAATAAATTATTCATGATTAATACTTCGAATACAAAGAATCTCTTGAGTTCGTATTTTTGAAGAAATAAAAAAAAACAAAATCCGCGCGGTGGAACGGTCGTTCGAAATTCAAATACACGAACGAAATATTTTTTTATATTATATTCTTGTATGTGAACTAGTAATTAGTTTTTATTTATTCTAAAGCAAAATTCGCGTACTTTTTGATAAAAAAAACTGTTTATCAAAATTGTAAATACTTTTCGTTTTATAGACATAATAGTGAGATGACTGATTTGTAGGCGATTTTTAAATGCCTCGTTGGAAGTTCTTAAACCTAAAAAATGGACAAACGTTATTCATAACAATCTTGGTTGTAATGTTATCTTAACACTCGGAGCTAATAAAATAAAATAAAAAATAAAAAGCCTTTTATTTCTTGCATAGAAGGTAAAAAAAAAAATACAATAATTGTTTGAACATCATTGAATTGTGCTAATTATAATGTAATGTGATGATGTAGGTGCTAGTTATAATTAAATAGAATTTACATGCATGATGTGGTAAGTTACACTTGATATAAAAATAAATTCAAGATAATTATTAATTGGTTGTTAAAATAATTAAATTGATTAAAATACAAATTAATCAAAATCATGCAAAATTATAAATTATTGAAATTATTTTACATTTACTTATTGGGATTTAATTTGCAAGAACCCCTCCACAGGTAAGGGCCTCCTCCAAAGAATGCCATTTGTCACGGTTTTTTGCCAGTTCCATCCACTTGGGCCCGGCTAGTTTTATTATCTCGTCTTCCCATCATGCCACGGGTCTGCCTCTTCTACGTTTACCGTGCGGTCCCTTCCATTCTGTTATTTTTGAGGTCCACCTTTCGTCTTGAAGTCTAGCAATGTGGCCGGCCCATTTCCATTTTAATTTTTGAGCGTGGTGTAAGGCGTTAGTCGATTTTGTAATGGCACTTATTTTTGAGTGGTTCACTTTCTGAATTTTCTTTAAGTTCAACATACTGCGTTCCATTGCTCTTTGACAGCTTACTATTTTTCTTTTTACTTTAGATGTAAATTTCCAAGTTTGGCACGCATATGTTAAACATGGGAGAAGACACGACTGCATTACCTTGGTTTTTGTAATGACTTGCATGTTGCTTTTAAAAATTTCTTTCATACTCCAGTACTTGCTCCATGTGCTTTGAATTCTTCTTTCTATTTCTAGGTCGTTATTATTCCTGTTAAATCCTATTTGCTTGCCAAGGTACACATATTGTTGTGTATAATTAAGAGACTTATTGTCTACAAAAATCTGTTTCCTTGTACTATTAGTAAGCATTGTTTTAGAAAAATTCATCTCGAGGCCCACTCGCGTACTGGCTATGTGTAGTTCATTTATCATGTTTTGTAATTCCGGACATTTTTTCAGACAACAGTACTAAGTCGTCAGCAAAGCGGAGATGGTTAAGATAGTGTCCTTGTATTTTTATTCCCTTGGCTTTCCAATCTAAATCGCTAATTACTGTTTCTAGTACTGCAATGAAGAGCGACGGAGAGAGTGGGTCCCCCTGTCTGACGCCTCTTTTTATGGGGAAACTTGGACCTGTTTTTTCGAGTTTGACTCTGCTTGTGCTGTCGCTGTATATACTTTTGATTACCTGTATGTACTCACTTTCTACGTTTTGTGATTGTAACGTATCCCAGATACTTTTATGTGAGACGGAGTCGAAAGCTTTCTGGTAATCGATGAAAGCGATGTAGAGTGGCCTATTATGTTCTTGATACTTTTCGATAAGCAGTTCTAAAGTATGTATATGATCTACTGTTGAAAACCCTTTTCTAAAGCCCGCTTGTTCTATTGGTTGCTTGCTTTGCAAGTTTGAACTGAGTCTCTTGTTGATAATAGATGAAAAAAGTTTATACATAGATGGTAACAAGCTTATTGGCCTATAGTTTCCAATATCACATGGATCGCCCTTCTTGTACAACAGGATAATGTCGGAGTGTGACCATTGACACGGTGTCATTCCAGTTTTTAATATGAGATTAAACAAGCGTGTCAATGGTAGAGCTAAGATTGTGTCGGCTACTTTTATTGCTTTGTTTGTACTCGGAGCTAATGGGATAATAAATCACAGCCATTCAAACGCCGGGCTTAATCCTTATCGACCCACTTGAAGTACGAGGTTTGTTTATACTTCGAGCTTTGTTTACACATACGGCGCGTGCGGAATGTGACGAGCTGTAGTGTAAAATTAAATTGTAGAAGTATAGTATTTTATGTTTTTATTTGGTAAGTTATAATAGAATGTGCAAATAACCAAAAAATCTGGACATGAAATTTTGAAAATATACTCCATTTTACCCATCTAAACGTCTTTTTTTTATCTTTCCCGAGTTTACCGTAACGTAATTAAAATAGATTATAGACATGACGCATTGTTTAGACACTGTTTTATAGTAAATTTTATGGAGAATCCTAATATATATAGTTTGTGTAGGGTATTCTTACAAAATAACAGAGAAATCTGAAAAAAAAAACTCGGTGGGTGGTCTGCCGTTTGAGGGGTTGAGCGGCGCATGCGCATGGCCGTTTGAAAGGTGCTACCGAGACCGAGACACTAATGGACTTTCAGAATTTCATCACAACATCTAGAATCTTTTCGGCTCAAAAAGGCTGTGTTCTTTCCACGTTTTCAGTTTCAGACTTGACCATTACAAGTTAATGTGAGATATACTTAAAACCAGTAGTATGAAGAGACAGTTTTTTGCCACCGTTACACCATTTTTTATAAATGTATTAATGTTTTTTTTATCTGTATTGTATATATATATACTAGCTGACCCAGCGAACTTCGTACCGCCATAAAAAAGTAAGGGTTGGTGGTAGAAGGGTGAAAAGTGAATCTAAACCATTCTCAGATCCCCTTGAACACACACGAGAAGAGAAGTTCAGTGACATACACACTCACAGAAGAATTATATATATAAAGATAATGGTGTCGATTCTACCGTGATTCTCTAAACCTAAACTTAAATTTGATAGCAGTATATCCTTGTCATTCTCCATACAAAATGAAAAGGAGAGACTGATGTTAAATTTAGTTTTAAGTTTAGAGAATGACGCCAGAATTGGCACCATTATATATTTAGTTAGCATTATTATATTTTTTTAAATATTTTTCTATTCTGTCATGCAGGTATCACATGCCTCATACAGATTACGACGGAGGAAGGCGGCGACTTCATCGTGGACGCATTAGCTCTGCGCGAACATCTGCACAGGCTCAACGAGGTTTTCACGGACCCCAAGAAACTGAAGGTCAGTGTACCACATTAGTTAAAAAGTGAAATATTCTGCACGGCCTTACCACAAACCGTAGACTAAAGTTAAATCAGGACTTAAACTGATGCTGTCTCGTTTGTTTGCTAAAAAAAAAGAGATCTTTAGATTTAAACCAAGATTCATTTAGTCTGCGTTTTGTAGAAAGGGGGATAATGTCCGAGTGTTGTTCGAAATCCTACTTCCTACTAATATAAATCTCAAAGTTTTTATGTTGGTTACTCAATCACACAAAAATCACCAAACGGATTTGGATGTTATTTTTGTACGCATATAGTTTATGATCTGGATGGAGACGATACTTTTTATCCCGGAAAATGTTGGGTTCCAGTGGGATTATCAAAAATCTAAAGTTTACGCGGACAAAGTAACGGGCGGCTACTAGTATGAAAATAAAAGAAACGTGTACGTACGTTTCATTAATTTATACGCTCTCAAAATTTTATTCACGATTACATTTGAAATCACAATTCAAATTAAATTTTGGTACATGTCCCGTTAGGTATTTCACGGCGCCGAGAACGATGTACTGTGGTTGCAGCGCGACTTTGGCGTTTACGTGGTGGGTTTGTTCGACACGCATCAAGCGGCGCGAGTGTTGCGCCTGCCCTCGCTCTCACTCAAGCACCTGCTCATGCAGTACTGCGCCGTCGACGCCGATAAGAAGTGAGTACAGTTACAATACCCAGTTGTTGTAGCGCGACTTCGGCGTTTACATGGTGGGTTTGTTCGACACGCATCAAGCGGCGCGAGTGTTGCGCCTGCCCTCGCTCTCATTCAAGCACCTGCTCATGAAGTACTGCGCTGTCGACGCCGACAAAAAGTGAGTACAGTTACAATACCCAGTTGTTGCAGCGCGACTTCGGCGTGTACGTCGTGGGTTTGTGCGACACGCATCAAGCGGCGCGAGTGTTGCGCCTGCCCTCGCTCTCACTCAAGCACTTGCTCATGCAGTACTGCGCCGTCGACGCCGATAAGAAGTGAGTACAGTTACAATACCCAGTTGTTGTAGCGCGACTTCGGCGTTTACGTGGTGGGTTTGTTCGACACGCATCAAGCGGCGCGAGTATTGCGCCTTTTTTTCTTTTTTTTTAAACCTCTGCACCGGTCACCCGACACGCATTCAGAGGACCTTAGTCCTCCCCGTCCCGTTAGGTATTTCACGGCGCCGAGAACGATGTACTGTGGTTGCAGCGCGACTTTGGCGTTTACGTGGTGGGTTTGTTCGACACGCATCAAGCGGCGCGAGTGTTGCGCCTGCCCTCGCTCTTACTCAAGCACTTGCTCATGCAGTACTGCGCCGTCGACACCGATAAGAAGTGAGTACAGTTACAATACCCAGTTGTTGTAGCGCGACTTCGGCGTTTACATGGTGGGTTTGTTCGACACGCATCAAGCGGCGCGAGTGTTGCGCCTGCCCTCGCTCTCACTCAAGCACCTGCTCATGCAGTACTGCGCCGTTGACGCCGATAAGAAGTGAGTACAGTTACAATACCCAGTTGTTGTAGCGCGACTTCGGCGTTTACGTGGTGGGTTTGTTCGACACGCATCAAGCGGCGCGAGTGTTGCGCCTGCCCTCGCTCTCACTCAAGCACCTGCTCATGCAGTACTGCGCTGTCGACGCCGACAAAAATTGAGTACAGTTACAATACCCAGTTGTTGCAGCGCGACTTCGGCGTGTCCGTCGTGGGTTTGTTCGACACGCATCTAGCGGCGCGAGTGTTGCGCCTGCCCTCGCTCTCACTGAAGCATCTGCTCATGCAGTACTGCGCCGTCGACGCCGATAACAAGTGAGTACAGTTACAATACCCAGTTGTTGTAGCGCGACTTCGGCGCTTACGTGGTGCGTTTGTTCGACACGCATCAAGCGTCGCGAGTGTTGCGCCTGCCCTCGCTCTCACTCAAGCACCTGCTCATGCAGTACTGCGCTGTCGACGCCGACAAAAAGTGAGTACAGTTACAATACCCAGTTGTTGCAGCGCGACTTCGGCGTGTCCGTCGTGGGTTTGTTCGACACGCATCTAGCGGCGCGAATGTTGCGCCTGCCCTCGCTCTCACTGAAGCATCTGCTCATGCAGTACTGCGCCGTCGACGCTGACAAGAAGTGAGTACAGTTACAATACCCAGTTGTTGCAACGCGACTTCGACGTGTACGTCGTGGGTTTGTTCGACACGCATCAACCGGCGCGAGTGTTGCGCCTGCCCTTGCTCCCACTCAAGCACCTGCTCATTCAGTACTGCGTCGTCGACGCCGATAAGAAGTGAGTACAGTTACAATACCCAGTTGTTGCAACGCGACTTCGACGTGTACGTCGTGGGTTTGTTCGACACGCATCAAGCGGCGCGAGTGTTGCGCCTACCCTTACTCCCACTCAAGCACCTGCTCATTCAGTACTGCGCCGTCGACGCCGATAAGAAGTGAGTACAGTTACAATACCCAGTTGTTGCAACGCGACTTCAACATGTACGTCGTGGGTTTGTTCGACACGCATCAAGCGGCGCGAGTGTTGCGCCTGCCCTTGCTCCCACTCAAGCACCTGCTCATTCAGTACTGCGCCGTCGACGCCGACAAGAAGTGAGTACAGTTACAATACCTAGTTGTTGCAGCGCCGCTTCTATCCAAGGACCCTTGACAAGATACCTTGAAGGACAAGGTATTATCTTCCAAAACGTCTATGTCACGATCAAATATTTGAAATTTCCACAGGTTATTCGCACTTTTCATTTATTATAAATGTCTATCACAAAAACTAATTTTATTTTATAATCATTGGTATTTATATTTTACCTACTTTAATTAAAAATAAAAGATTTTTTTTCCATACCTTCAGCAACATGTATCAAATATTCGTAAATTAATTGACAATCTATATTGTAATCTAAAGTAATTGTTTTTTTTGTATCCCAAGTGCTCAAACAACATATCTAAGTGTGAGACCGTTTGCGAATGGGACCAAATGCGAATAGAACATAATGCGAAAAGGACTTTTTTTTTAAATCGTGACGAAATGCGAATGGATCTAACTGCATCAAAGCCGTTGTAGGGGGTAATTTCTGAAACTACTGAACCGATTTTGAAAATTCTTTTACAAATAGTAAGCAACGGTATTTGAGTGTCATAGGTATACATATATTATGTCATATATTAACCTGAAAAATAAAAAGGCTTAAACGCGGACGAAGTCGTGGGCGGCTGCTAGTTACTAATCAATTTGTTTATTCGCAGATTCCAACTAGCCGATTGGCGTATCCGTCCCCTACCATCGGAACTGGTGTCATACGCGCGAGGAGATACCCACTACTTGTTGTACGTGGCGCGTCGAATGCGAGCAGAACTCGCCAAACTCGGGCATAGACAACTGCTAGCCGTCTACGAGCAGAGCAGGCATATTTGTCTACAGGTATTTTCTTTTATTTTTTATCTACCATTAATGTTATTATTTTATCAATCATAGATTTTTTTAAATTTTGTATGCCACTGTAGTGTTGTTTAGAAATAGTAAGCTACACAAACAGTATAGTGATGCCATTGATGCTCGGGACAGGCTGCAGTGCATCGTGGATGGCTTTGATCAGTGCAGAAATGAGTATGAGCAAACATTGCAGCGAATTCATATTTTAGAAACACAATTACAAGATGCCAATCACACAATTTCACTCCTAGAAGCATCAAAACAAAACATAACAGCCTCATTGAATCAGAGCCTTTTCGATGAGTTGGTGGTTTGCGCCCCGGACATGGTTTCTGCTACAATTAATAACGAGCCCACTGTCACAATAGACCTCACACATGATGATACTAAAAACAGTAAAAATACACTGATGGTTATTGGATGTAAAGGAAATAAATTAAAGAAGTAATAAATACATTAAAAAAACTCAAAAACTTGTAAAAAAAAAGTTCTTTATAAAAATGTAAAATAAACAAGGAAAGATTGCAATTAATTGATAATTTGGATATATATTCAATTAAATATGACAACATTAGCCTAAGATATAAAAAAGACACACAAACATTGCAAAGTAAAACTGAACAATTACAAGTGTCTTATAAATGTTAAAAAAAATATGAACTGTCACAAAAAGAAATAAAGGAACACATGAAGGCACTGAATGAGTTGGTTGAATTATGTAATTACAACAATGACAGATTTAATTCTTTAACTAACAATCACACATGTTATTGTAAACAGTTAACAGCTCAGTCACCTGTCATATCACAACGAACAGACAACAAGAAAGTGATTCCTCCATATCACAACATGTAACTATTAGTTCCGCACAGCAGCCATCAAAGGAATGCTTGACTACAGTGAAAACAATTCACTCGGACAACTTAGTTTTAGATAATAAATATAAAAAAATCATATTATTTAGTGATGAAATTGGCAAGGGCATGGGCCCTCTTTTATCTAAAATGGGAAATTCAATTATCAATCACTGTATGCCTAATGTTTCTTATAAGGATATCTTAGGAAATGCAATCAAACAAAATTACAGTAAATGCACTACTTTGTTATTTTTTGTGGGAAATAGAGGCAATTTGAACAAAAAATCATTGATTCAATATGTGAATGACCTGAGCTCATTAAATGTTGAAAAAAATATATTGTTTACATTGCCCTATTGTAGAAGTCTGCCAAAGGAGGAAAATTTATTAAGATATAAATTAAATATGCTTTTGTTCACAATGTGTAAAAGTGAAAAATTTCATATTATTGACACTAACAAATATGTTAGAAATTTATATTTGACCAAAGATAAATATTATCTTTCTAATTATTATAAAAGACCGATAGCTAAGTCGCTATCATATTATTTTTATATAACAGCCAAAAACTTGGCTAAACAAATTGCTTTTTTTGAGCAATGTTCTATTGACTTGACAGTCAGTAATTCTTCTACTGACAAATTACAAAATAATAACTATTGTTTAAATTAAATAATGAGACAACAGACAACTCGTCTTGCTTAATAATAAATAATTATTGTAATAACTTGCATAAAAATATTAATTTAATTAAGAAAAATCCCAAACAATTAAAAGAAAATGTAAACTTGATCAACCTGATGCATATAAATATTCAAGGAATGATGGGTAAGGACTTAGAAATTGAATTATTTTGGAATTGTAACAATATAGATATATTTTGTATCACAGAGCATTGGCTTAAAAGTCATCAATTCATCTTTAATTTTAATAATCATCAGGTTGGTAGTTCGTTCAGTCGAGAAGATGCGATTCGCGGTGGCTCTTTAATTTTATTAAATAATGCACTTAAATTTAAGGAACGTAAAGATATTGTGAGCCTCTCGGTTGAGCGAACAATAGAGATTGCCTGTGTGGAACTGGACCGGCTTTTTGTATTGAGTGTATACAGACCTCCTTCAGCATTGTATGATTGTTTTGAAACTATTATGGATGAAGCTTTAGAAAAAATTGTCAACACTGATAAAGGATTAATTGTTTGTGGTGACTTTAATATTAATCTATTAGAAACCTCTAGTTTGAGTATTAAATTAAGAAATCTATTTCAATCATATAATCTTGAAAACTTGTTCATGGAGCCTACTAGAATAACTGCCACTTCGGCAACTTGTATTGACAATATTTATACGGATATAATACCACATTCAAAAGTAATTGTTAATCAACTAAATAGTGATCATTGTGGCCAGATGATTACTTTTCCACATCCAAATAAAAATATCACCAAGAAATATATCATTATTGTGCCAAAATATGTTAATCGTATAGTGCGTTTTAAAATTCAATTAGATAGGAATTTGAGTTATTTAAAGTATAAAAGTAATCCAAATGATATGTAAAATGATTTTATTAATAATTTTTGTAAAGAATTTAATGATGTCTTTGTTTCCAAAACCATATGTGTTAGTGATGCAGTAACTTTCAGCGAGTGGGTCACCCCAGGCATACATAAAAGTAGAAGGAAACTTTATGAACTTTACAATGAACGCAGCATTAATACTAGTGAAAGTTTCAAAGAGAACGTACGTAATTATTCAAAGTTATTTAAAAAAGTATGTCGTACAGCAAAATCAAATTATTTAAGCAGTAAGATTAAGAATAGTAATGACAAAATCAAAATGACTTGGAACATTATAAACAATAAAACTGGAAAATCTAAAACTCGAAATACTAGTTTTAATTTAAACATTGAACATAGAAATGTTACATCAGATGTTGAAGTTGCTACAGCATTTGAGAACTTTTTCACTGATATTCCAGTTTCAACTACAAAATCTTTGAACTCCTCTCCCATTGTTGCTGAATCAATATTAAAAGAACACACAAAACAATATACTAGTCAATTTAAATTTAAGTATATTAACTGTAAAGATGTAATAAATTATTTCAACCAATTAAATAAAAAGAAAACTGCGGATCTGTGGGGTAACTCCGTGGATGTTTCTGGATCAGTAATTGAGACAATAGCTCCTATTCTGGCTAGCATTTTTAATCAATGTGTTGACTGTGGTGTTTTTCCTGATGTAATGAAACACAGTAAAATAACTCCACTACATAAATCGGGTAGCACATCTGACCCCACAAACTTTAGACCTATATCCGTGTTACCCACCTTTAGTAAGATTTTTGAAAAAATTATGCTAGATCAAATGCAATCATATTTTTATAGTAATAACATTCTTCATAGTAAACAATTTGGTTGCACAAGGGGTCACTCAACAACCGATGCCGGTGTTGAGCTTGTACAGCAAATTTTTGATGCCTGAGAGAACTCGCAAGATGCATTAGGTGTATTTTGCGACTTATCAAAGGCTTTAGATTGCGTTTTTCATGAAACATTGATCAGGAAACTTCACCACGGATATGGATTTAGAGATACCACTCTGGATCTTATTGTATCTTATTTGAGTGATAGGGTTCAGAGGGTTGACATCAATGGAGTAAAATCTCCTGGTTCGTCGGTTAAGATGGGAGTTCCGCAGGGCTCAATCCTTGGTCCTTTCTTATTTTTATTTATATCAATGACGCCCTATTTTGTAAAGGTTAACCACGAAATAGTATTGTTTGCGGATGACACTTCACTGTAAAATCTTATCAACGGGCAGCGTATATTTGTAAACTGTTGCATTGTTGAGCTGCTATCTATCTCTATTTATTCCAAACATCTCAGATTCAATAAATGTGGCGTTGTTGAGGTGCGGTTATATTAGTGCTATTTATACTTATTCTCTTTACGCTCAAGCTGCACCTTTGATGCTCTGTTAACCCAACAATGGATATAATATTATTTAAGGTTTAGGAATCAAAAATAAATAAGACAAAATATTTTAATAATGATAATCATTTATTGATAACACATTTATCCAAATCGACATTATTAATGTGATATTTTTATTTTATATTTTTGGGGTTATGCCGTATCCAGTGGAACTGTAGTGACTTCGCCTAAAATATCTTTTGTAACTCGCCACCATGTCCTGTTGAGTTTGAAATATCCAGTTAAAGCTCTGCTAAGTTCAATTAACACAGCAGTTTATACATTAAGCGTGCTCTAATCCTGGTTTATATATTGCCTTTTTTTAAAAAAGAATTGACTTATATACCTTCTTCAAATACCTCATCTAAAAATGTACCTGGAGCATGTGTATCGTTAAATCGCCCCCAGCTAAGGTACCAAACTACCGTCATTACGTGTGCGCAACATCCTACTGTCCTTTTGCCTACAATACAACTGCAGCAATAGCCAACTAAACAACTTAGTGAGTTGGCTATATTGGTGTCAGGGCTGACTAAAATGTAAACAAAATAGGTGCGTCCACCAACGTGTTTAGACTTAATACGTCCTCTAAGCAGATAATTGTTTAAACCTAATACAAGGGGAACGTCTTCATCTATTTCTGTATTTGTTTCTATGGAATATATCCCAGACGATCGAATATGTTCCCTATAATATGATTGCGCCTGCTTTAACTGATAAGTGCCTAATGCAAAGCGTTTTAAATCAGTGATGCTTAAACTGGGAAAGGTTTCCAAGTGAGGATGATTGCCATCAATTGCAGAAAACATTGCACGTCTTCTGTTAAGATTTTGAGTTTCTACAAACTCGGCCAAATGATTGGACTCATTAAGCCGATTTTGAGCAATAGCTACATACTCGCTTGCTTCTGGAGGATCCTGTATTAAGGGATGAAACTTATTTAACAGAGCACATGCAATTCTTAAATCATCTTTTAAATGAGTTGCAGCTCTGTTATTAAATACATGCCTGAACAATCTAAAATCTCGTTTTATACGTCCATTTACTATTTCAACCACCCAGCGACACATTGTTATAAATCTAGATTTGTTAGCCTGAAGGGTAGTGAGTTGATGTTCACCATCTAATAATGATTCAGGCATGTAAGCTTTAAA